ATACAAATAAATCACACATAAATAAGTGCAAAATATTGTGAAAATTCATTAAGCATGTCAAATGAATGACTAGTGGGGACACAAAAAACTAATTAATGATCAGGAATGTTGATAACAGTAGAAAAAAATAATTTCTTCAAATTGGAGTTGCAAAATTAATGTAAATTTGTCTTTTTTTAACCCACCATTCAGGGGTGGGGGTGGTGGTGGTTTGGTGTAGTTTTACTCAAGATTTTAAAATGCAACCCCTCCACACCACCACCACCAGGAGCTCTGAAAGGAGTGCTTTGCTCTAGTAGTGTAAAATTTGCAATACACTATATGTATTAAACAAAATTTCATATGAATTTTGATGGGCTTATACGACTTGTATTTTACAAATGGCACGGTAGTGAATTTTATTTCTTTGATCTGTAACTTTAAATTTTCTACTGTTTCAAGCATGCAAAAGAAATGAAACGTATTCTGATAATCATAATCTTGCCTCCTTTAACTTCACATCAGGAAATTATAGTACATCAGTTATTTACAGACTTCTGGAAAGCCCATGAATCACTCAGGAGAAAGTAATATTCAATCACACAGCTGCCCAGGTTCATACCCCAGTAAGTGCAGTGGGACATGTGGTGGACAAGGCAGTGCTGGGAGAGGTCCTAGTTCATCAGTTCTCCCATCAATATCATTCCACTGCTACAGTGAAACCTCTATCCATCGTTCCTGGAACTATCGTTTTCCCGGATGCATCGTCCGTTTTGTTCGGTCCCAGATACATCCCATATAAAATAATGTTACGTTTTCCCGCTTCTATCGTTCCTCGAACTATCGTTTTATCGCGTCTATCGTTCAAAAATCTTAGTCCCGGCCCACAATTTTCCCGCAATGATCGTTTCTGAGAAATTAAAATGCTGGGTTTTGAGATAAATTAATACCGAAAGACGCACAATGTTTTTGGAATACGCAGTAGCGGTAACCTGTTATGTCGCCCAACCAGCACATTCTTTTGGAATGAGGGTCAGCGGTGCAGGGGTGATACTTCCATTTTTCCTGTTATAGTCCGCGAAGGTTTGATGGAGCGGTGAGGAAGAGGGAGAAACGACGAATGCGAGCCCGAACTTTGCCGAGTTTTGCCGAAGCACACGCTGCATTGGCAAAAGTGAAGTCGTTCTTTTATGCGCATAATATTAGTGAACGTGACGAAGAAAACATTTTGAACGTGGAAAGGGCTCTGTTTGGCCTAAAACGTAAAGTTTCGACAAACCAGTTGTCCATTAAAGACTTTTTTGGTAAAAAGAAGTAACTTTGAAAGAGAAACATTGTTTTGTTTTTTTAATTTTTAATGCTTTCCCGCAACTATCGTTTTTATTTCCCTCCCCCGCCGAAAACGATGCATCGAGGTTTCACTGTATATCATTCATGTATCATGTGGGAGATGGACATTGGGTCTATTACCATCTGCAGTTCCATTCAGACAATCTCTCTTCACCGCAACAATAACAATAAAAGTATTATTCAAAATCCCCAGTGAAATTGGTATGACCATGAAGCTAAACAGGTTAATTAAATATATAAATAAGCAAACAAACAACTATTAACATTATAAAAAATACACTATTGCCATACGCGTTTCAACCTCAAGAGGTCATCATCAGTGGCATCAGGGAATCAATTCATTTAATTAAAAGTCTCAAACTTGATTTAGATAATAAATAATGAATAGGACATTTCACAATCATAATAGGACAACAGGTAAAATTGTTTTGTATATTGTGATCTTTAGTGTTTTTGATAGCAAACAAGATGATGACAGTTTTTTAATTGAATAAAAACAAGCATTTCCTTAATGTATTCTACTCTTAATTTCATTGTGGACCTTATTTCTGTTTGTTGTTGTTCCCAGATACTTAAATTTTGAAATTTTTTCAAATGATGTGTTACTTATAATTGTTTGCCATTATTGCTGATGTCAATCTTGTATTTAGTTGAATCTACATTTCCTTGCTAGCCTGCATAGGAGTTTCTGCATTCTTGATTATGGTACCCACCCCATTCCCCAGCAGATTGACATCATCAGCATAGGCAAGTACCTAGTCCAGATCATTCATTCAAGCCCTTCCTGATGACATGTTCTAGAAAAAAATTAAAAAGCATTGGGGATAAAGCATACCCCTGGTTCAGGACATTGTGCACTGAGAATGGAACAAACTCTTTAGTGTTTCCATAATGGGTAAACAAGCTTCAGTAGATTGGAAAGGGTGTGATAGTACGTAAATTCAGATTAATTTTGCAACTCCAATTTGCAGAAATTATTTTTTCTACCATTATCAACATTGCTGATCATTAATTAGTTTTTGTATTAACTGGTCCCCACTAGTCATTCTCTGTTTTGCCCCGAATCCTTCCTCTTCTACCTAAATACTATATTTCTGCAGCATTACAAAAACTTGTAATTTGATTACAATAAAACAAGGATCTAAAGTCCCTGCTTACACCACAAACTACTAAAGACAGTCCATAAAATGAACTATTATGATGAATGCCAATTTATAAAAAATTTAAATTAAAATATTCCGATCACTTCATCAGTACAAAACTATCAGTCAAAATATATAGGCCAAATGGAGAAGACACTTCAGCACTGTATGTGGAAATAAAAACTGATTGAAGTGACTTATTCAAATCAATTCAATGAGCCTGGCTGAGATACATAATACAGTCAAACCTTGGTTCACAAACTTAATTCGTTCCTGAAGGTCGTTCGTAAACCGAAACAATTTTCCCCATAGGAATTAATGTAAAATGGATTAATCCGTTCCTGGACCCCAGATGATTGCTTATTTAAAATTTTACAACAGTACTTTGTGCACAAGTTCTTAACACAAAATCAATGGAAACCTATCACAAAAAAGATAAACACAACACTAAGCAGATCAAATATAGATGACAACTTAATTCAGTTGTACCGTACCTGTATGGAGGAGAGTTGACGGCGTAAGTGGAAGGTGGTGAGGAAGTGAACTGTTATTGTTTGGAAGGGGATTCTTTTTCTTTTTTCTGTCTCTTGGCACCACTCGACTCTGCATCAGACTCACTGGGCCTCTGTCTCACTAAAAAGTTGTTCAGTGTGATTTGTTTTTGTCTACATTTTAAAATATTTCTAAAGTGACACATGGCATTATCATTGAAAATGTTTATGCTGCGGCTTGCTACTGCTTTATCGCTACTGCTTTATCGGGGTGCTATCGTTCCATGAAACTTTGCACCTCACCCCATTTTGCACAAATTTCACCGATCAAAGAAGTAGGAACATCCTACCTTCCTTCCTCTTCCTCTGAAGACATTTCCTTCACAATCGCCCTTTGTAGCTGCTTCTGTAGTTGTTCCAGTTCTTCCGTGCTGAGTTCATCTTTGTGGTCCTCTAGTAACTCCTCCACATCTTCAATGTTAACTTCCAAGTCCATGTTTTTGCCTAGAGACACAATATCGATATCATCATCATCATCTTCTTCTTCTACGAATACTGCCGACGCTGATACTCCCAGCTTATCGCTCCACGATGTTGACGGCTTGCGTGTTCGTAACTCGAGACACAGTATGTCATCCAAGACGCTATGTGTTCGGAAAATTTGTTCATAAACTGAATTGTTTGTGATCCGGGGCGTTCGTGAACCGAGGTTTGACTGTATACACATATAAATAACTTATCACACACGACTGCATGCCAGAAGTGAGCAATATGCTGCTAGTGTGTGTTATTGCGTATGTAGACACACATTGCTACAATTCCAAAACAGCAAAATGTTATCACTGCAATCTTATAGGCATGGTTCATTGACTCCTGAAGAACTGCAACCTGAAAGGGGCAATAAACATGTTTAAATTAAACAAAGAACTGGACCTACTGAAATTCATGGAAAATTACACACAGGGTGAAAAATATGTGCACAAGCCCTCCAAAGTGATTCCTTGCATAAAAATATGCAGCAAATGTTGAATAAATACTGCCTGAACAGTACAGAGTGGCCATAAAGTCTGGAAACATAGGTGAATATACATAATAAACGGTTTATTGATATTACATTACAATATATGTTCAATGTGTTGTCCCTGATTAGCAATGCATAGTTCAATGCGCTGTGCAAAATGACAATGAATGCGGTGCATTAATGCAGCATTTCCATCAATCCCTGTTTCGAAACTTTATGGCCACCCTGTAGGACATCTGTAGCAACTGAATACATAAAATACTGAAGGTGCATGGTACATGCAGAGTCAACTCTTGATATAATGCAGTGTTCAGACATTACAAATTAATATCACTTTATAAAGAGCATCTCTTTCCCCACTGTGAACTACTGTGTTTGAAATAATATACTGTCTTCCACAGACATCATGTTATAATCATCAATGTAAAGTCCCACTACACGCCATGTAAGGGCTTGGGGGGAGAGAAATCATGATGCACCACAAAAATAATTTATATTGGTGAAGCACGACAGTTTAATTTTATAATCAATGCCCAAATTCCTGTTAAAAGTTTCCTTGTGTTTTAGTTTTAATTTCAGGTCCAAACTATGATTTGTCCCCTTTCTTCAATGTTAACCCTGATAAAAACATTTCTTGCACAATTGTCATGTGAGAAAAGTTTTCAAGCAACCTTAATAATAATGAGAAGGTGTCTCATACCCATCCTCCATGTTCTTGCACCCACACACTCAACTTCTCAATAATATACCGCTGACTCCAGTACGTTATTAAATAAAAAATGTCTCTCAGGCTGTTGCGTAGAGCTCTGATAGCAAGATCAGAGCAAAAGAAGAAAAGGACAATCACTCGCTCTGATGTGACCCCACCTTCCTGCAACAAAATAAATATAAAAGTAGCTATAGGAAATTTGGTACAGTGCACATTTCATAGTAAGTGGTGTTCCAATTTCCATACAAATAAATCACACATAAATAAGTACAA